TACGAACTTGGTGAGTGGTGCTGACCTACAGGATGCGGGGGTTCACCAGTTCACTCCTGCTTGTCAGCGAGTGACCCACTGCACGGACGCTCGGACAGGCCGACACCTGGCCACGTTTACACGTCGGCGTGGATCGAGCCTGTACACACTGACCACTGCGTCTCCTCCAGTCACTGCGTCTGGTCAGGTAGCTGCGTCGGGTCAGGTGTTTGCTGCAGCGTCCAGGTCTGTTCCTGAGTCTGCCCCCTGCTCGTGTCGTCTCCTGTCTCACGAGACTCTCCTCTGGCACCACCGCCTTGGTCACCCCTCCCTGCTTCGTCTCCGAGGCATGGCCTCCCGTGTCCTTGTCTCTGGTCTTCCCCGGTCCCTCCCTCCCCTTCCTCCTGGGCCTGGCCCTACCTGCGTTCCCTGTGTCGAGGGGCGGCAGCGGGCTGCCCCTCACTCCTCCCAGTTTCCTCCGACAGAGGCCCCGCTGCACACGCTTCACATGGACGTGTGGGGCCCGGCCCGCGTCCGTGGACACGGTCACAAGCGCTTCTTCCTGCTGGTGGTTGACGACTACTCGCGTTACACCACAGTCTTCCCCTTGCGCAGCAAGGGTGATCTCACTGAGGTGCTGATCGACTGGATCCGCGCAGCTCGTCTCCAGCTCAGGCGGAGCTTCGGCTCGGACTTTCCTGTTCTGCGTCTGCACTCTGACAGAGGCGGAGAGTTCTCCTCTGGCCTTCTGCGAGCCTACTGTCGTGCACGAGGCATCCGCCCGACCTTCACGCTACCGGACTCTCCACACCAAAATGGGATTGCTGAGCGCCGAATTGGCATGGTCATGGATGTAGCTCGTACGTCCATGATGCATGCCGCTGCCCCCCATTTTCTGTGGCCGTTTGCGGTTCGGTACGCGGCGCATCAGATCAACCTTCACCCCAGGGTCTCCGTGCCGGAGACCTCCCCAGCTTTGCTGTGGACGGGGAAGGTTGGCGATGCGGCTGCGTTCCGTGTCTGGGGATCTCGGGCGTTTGCTCGCGACTTGTCTGCGGACAAGTTGTCCCCTCGTGCTGCTCCTTGCGTCTTCTTGGGGTTCCCCCCTGACGCGCCAGGGTGGCAGTTCTACCACCCCACCTCTCGCCGTGTTGTGTCCTCCCAGGACATCCTGTTTGACGAGTCGGTCCCCTACTACCGCCTCTTCCCCTACCGCACTCCGTCCCTCCCCCCACCACCGCTCTTCCTTGTACCAGGTCCCCCCTCGCTAGACCCCCTCCCCCCTCAGGGTCCTACCCCTTCATGTGTGTCCCAGGTAGACGTAGTCGAGCCTGTCGAGGTTACTGGTGACTCTGGTGCTGCTGAGGGTGCTGAGCCTGGGGGTGCTGACTCTGGGGGTGCTGAGCGTATGGGTGCTGCGCCTGGGGGTGCTGAGCTTGCGGGTGCTACTACTGGGGGTGCTGAGCCTGGGGGTGCTGCGACCGGGGGTGCTGAGCCTGGGGGTGCTGAGTCTGGGGGTGCTGCGATTGGAGGTGCTGAGCCTGGGGGTGCTGAGCCTGGGGGTGCTACGCCTGGGGGTCCCGAGCCTGGGGGTGCTACGCCTGGAGGTGCTGAGCCTGGGGGTGTGGAGCCTGAGGGAGTTGGGCCTACTCGTGTGGCGTCTGGCGGTGCTGGGCCTTGAGGTTCTCCGGGTGCTTCGTCTCGACAGGAGCCCCTCTCTCCACAAGAGCTGCGTGAGTGGTTTGCCCGGCGCTGGAGGCGTGGTGCTGGAGCTGGAGGTTCTTCGGCTGCTGAGGGTGCTGGTGCCGCGGGTCCCGAAGGTGCTCGTACTGGGAGTACTGGAGCTGCTAGGCCTGCGGGTACGACTGGAGCTGGAGCTGCTCAGGGTGTTGGCGCTGAGGCTACTGCTGTCGGTCCTGGAGGCGGTCCTACTGGGGGTACTACTAGTGCTGCTGGAGGTAATGGAGCTGGAGGTGCTCCTGGCGCTGGTGTTGTCGCTGGGGGTGCTGGTGCTGTCCCTGCTGTGTCTGGAGTCGCCGCGCGGCCTCGGCCGTACTTCGTTCCGCTCCTTCAGCAGGTTCTTGGTCTCTCGCCTTCTACTAGTCCTCCTCCTCCCTTAGAGTGTCCAGAGCCTGTCCCGTCGCAGTTACACTTACAGCCGTCCTCCCCACTGCCTGCTCCTTCTCCCTACACTGGTCCTACTGGAGGTCTTGCTGAGCATCGTGAGCCTGCGTCTCGCCCTGCGTTGCGTGTCCGTGCTGCTCGCACTAGTGGTCGTGGTTCGCGTCAGCGTGCTCCTCCTGTCCCTGGCACGCACCGGATGTCTCTGCATCCGTCCACTGCTCCTCTGCGTGCCCCTTTGCCTTCTCCTCCTGAGTCCTTTCTTCCTGCTCTTGCCGACCCGGAGTCGGACTCTCTTCGTGCTGCCAGTCCTACGGTCATGCGTCTCCTTGCTACTGTCGACACTGACCCTTCCTTTGAGTCCACTGCTGCGTCTGCCCTAGTTGCTGAGCTCGTCGACTTTGCTGCTCGCTGTCGTCTAGACTACGCTGCTAGTCTTGTCGCTGAGTCTGTATGTCCTCCGTCCGTCGAGGGTGAGTGTGCACTTGAAGGACGTCCTTGAGGACAGGCAGGAGGAGTTCCAGTGCTTGGCCGCTGTTTCACCTCATCTCGTGTCCGTACTGCTTACCCCTGAGGGAGACCCGGATGCACTTGACATCCCGACTCCGCGCTCTTACGCGGAGGCGATAGAGGGTCCCTCCTCCTCTCAGTGGCAGGCAGCTATGGACGCAGAGATGGCTTCCTAGAAGTCCAAAGGCACCTACGTTGACGCTGTTCCCCCGCCTGGGGCGAACATCGTCAGTGGCATGTGGATTTTCAGGGTGAAGCGGCCGCCGGGTTCTCCGCCTGTCTTCAAGGTGCGTTACGTGGCTCGTGGCTTCAGTCAGCGGCAAGGAGTTGACTACTTTGAGACCTTCTCTCCCACCTTGAAGATGACCACTCTTTGTGTAATGCTGCACATAGCTGCTCACCGCGACTACGAGCTGCACTCTCTTGACTTCAGCACTGCTTTCTTGCAGGGCCGCCTGCACGAGGAGATCTGGCTGCGTCGCCCACTTGGCTTGACTGGGTCTTTTCCCCCTGGCACCCAGTGGAGCCTCCGGCGGCCAGTCTACGGTCTCCGCCAGGCGCCCCGTGAGTGGCACGACACACTGAGGACTACACTAGCGGCTCTTGGGTTTGCTCCTTCTACTGCCGACCCGTCGCTGTTTCTGCGCACCGACACCTCTTTGCCGCCGTTCTACATCCTCGTGTACGTCGACGACTTGGTCTTTGCTACTGCTGACACTGCTGGACTCGCCCATGTGAAATCCGAGGTGCAGAAGAGACACACGTGCACTGACCTGGGTGAACTGCGCAGCTATCTTGGCTTGCAGATCACTCGAGACAGAGCACGCCGCACCATTACCCTGACTCAGTCACACATGGTGCAGCAGGTCCTTCAGCGCTTCGGCTTCATGTACTCCTCGCCTCAGGCCACTCCTCTGCCTACTCGCCACTCGCTCTCAGCTCTGCCTTCGGATGAGTCCGTAGAATTGAGTGGCCCGTACCCAGAGCTTGTTGGCTGCCTCATGTACCTGATGACCTGCACACGACCTGACCTTGCATACCCTCTTAGCATTCTTGCACGCTATGTTGCTCCAGGGAGACACCGACCAGAGCACATGGCTGCAGCGAAGAGGGTGTTGCTACTTGTGCAGTACGTCGGGCATGGGGCTTGTGCTTGGAGGGCAGAGTCCAGTGGTCCTCACTGGGCACGCAGACGCTTCTTGGGCTGACGACCAGGCTACGCAGCGGTTGTCACAGGGTTACACCTTCAGCCTTGGTTCCGGCTTTGTTTCGTGGCGGGCTACCCGCTCGTCTTCTGTTCTTAGCTCCAGTTGTGAGGCTGAGATCTACGCAGGGGCCATGGCTGCACAGGAGCTTCGCTGGCTCACCTACCTGCTGACTGACCTCGGAGAGCCGCCTCATTCTCCTCCAGTGCTGTACGTAGACAACAAGGCCATGCTGGCCTTGTGTCGAGAGCAGAGACTGGAGCACTGTCAGTAGAGCTACACTGTGAGATCCCCGATCGATCCTAGGGGGGGTTACAGGCGCGTTTGCCTGGGGGGTTATGGGCGCACTGACCTGCTACTGAAACAAGCCCTTTTATCCCAATGGTCTAGTGGTTGGGATTCTGACATGGTATTAGAGCGGTCTCGGGTTCGAATCCCGGTGTATGCACATGTTGGCCGTTGCCACAGTGCTCAGTCCTGGGCCTCCCAGTGTGGGGGGGTGTCAGTAGAGCTACACTGTGAGATCCCCGATCGATCCTAGGGGGGGTTACAGGCGCGTTTGCCTGGGGGGTTATGGGCACACTGACCCGCTACTGAAACAAGCCCTTTTATCCCAATGGTCTAGTGGTCGGGATTCTGACAAGCACAGAACGAAGCACATTGCTCTCTGCTACTTCCTTGCTCATCAGCTACAGCAGCGTGGTCAGCTGTGACTTGCGTACGTGGCCTCTGAGGCCAACAGTGCTGATATCTTCACCAAGGCACTTGCGTCTTGTGATCATCAGCGCTTCTGTACCCAGCTGGGTCTTGTGCCTACTTTGCCTCACTTGCTCACTCTTTGACCTTGTTTGTACTGTTGCATATATATATATATAGACCTGCTCTTGCTTGTCTAGCCTTATATATATATGTAATCCTGCATGTGAACTGGCCTTGTGGCCTTGAACTTGTGCTCGGAATGTGTGGTGACTTTGTGATCCACCCTGAGCTTGCTTTGCTTTACTTTGCTTGACTGGTCTTGTGACCCCTTGTTCTCCCCCACTTTGCTTATGGGGGTGTGTCATAACATTATAGCTTATACATTAGTGTAGGCTGTAGTGGGGTAGCCCATAAGGGGTACAACCCAATTAGGGTTAGTACTTGTACCCAACTCTTTCATAGTCCAATCATTCTCGTTCTCTTTTCTCATCCACCACCCTTGCCCCCCTTGCCCCTGCCGCTGCGGCGCCTCCCACTAGGAGCAGACGCAGCCCCGACCTCCTCCGTGCCAAGGAGGTTGACAATAGAAGTAGAAGCAACAGAGGGCAGAAGGGGAACGGGGGAACACCCCTCAAAGAACGGGGCGCGAAGGTTGCCGCGAGAAGCACCTACAGCAACTATACTCTTCTCAGCTGCAGTGGGGCACATAGAGAGAAAGTGGTCCCTGACTGAGGAAAGGGAGTCAGGGAGACGGGTGACTAGGTAGAAGAGGGTGATGTACATGGGGGGGGGGGGGGGGGGGGGGGGGGGTTCTTGGCGCAGAACTCGGAGGGAAGCGCAGCGCGGTAGCGGGCGTCACTAGTGCGGAGGTGAGTAATGAGGTCAGCGACTGTGGCAAAGCCGGCCAGGTCAGGGAATAGGTACGGTAGCATGAGGCGGCTGAGGGTAGCAATGGCAGGGGAGGAGTAGTGCGCTACGACAGCGTCATACAAAGACTTAGCAGTCTTGTACTGGCCAAAGTGCGCGCGCTCAGCAGAAGGCAGGAGACTACGAACAGCAAGGCGAGCAACAGCGTCACGAGTAGTCCACTGCGAGCAAACTGTACTGTCAGCATCGGCAGCAGGTGCAGCAGAGGCGCCAGACGTGAGATAAAAAAGCGAGACTCCGTCCTTGCTATCGCACTGAAGAAACAGCTGCAGATTATCTACCCAGACATTGAAGTCAATTGCACGTCCCTCAGCATCGAAGGTAAGAACGTTAGGGCCAGCCATGGCGGCAGTAGCAGCAAGAGTAGGGCAGCGCGGCCCAGTAGGGCAGTGCGGCGCAGCTCAGTAGGGCGGCGCGGCTCGGCCGGGCGGCGCGGCTCGGCGGAGCGGCGCGGCTCGGCTGGGCAGCGCGGCTCGGCCGGCAGACAGGCGCGGGTAGTGCGCGTAGGGCAGGTGCTCACCAGGGGTGGGCAGGGCAGGCGCGACGGCGGAGCCACAACGGCGGCGACAGTGGCGGCCGCAACAGTGGGGCCGCGACGGCGAATGCAGGCGCGACGGCTGCAGAGCAAGGCCGCGATGGGTGCTGCAGGGCAGGACCGGTACGGCGGGGCCGTGACGGCGGCAGCAGGCGCGACGGTGGAGGCGGCAGGGCCGCGACGGCGGGTGCAGGTAAGGGGCCGTGACGGCGGCTGCAGGTAAGGGGCCGTGATGGCGGTTGCAGGTCAGGGGCCGCGACGGTGGTGCCGCTCATGCTCGTCCATCGTCTTGTGTTCCCAACCATCACTCTATGGGCTCAGTTCTCTCCCCCTTCATGTCCCTCCTCCTGTTCTCCCATCTCCTTTATCGTATCTCTCACTGTCTCCCCTCCTTCCTTCTCTGACTTCCTCTGTGGCACTCGACCTATATTCTCCCATGTACTTTCCTACTTCGTCAGTCTCAAATTTTGTCGCTACTGTTGGTGACTTTGACTCGACCCGCCACTTTGACTACGCCACTCATTTGGTCTCTAATCCTGCCCATTTTCCATATGTTGGAGGTGCTCTTGCCCTTGACAGTGACATTGTAGAGGGCAGGTAGTTTGAGATGGCTTTCCTTGCGGCCGCTGCTCCTCACCTCTCTGCAATGATGAGGGTGACCCAGATGCTCTTGACATACCGGCTCTTCGCACCTACTTCGACGTAGTGTCTACACACAGGCCTTTTATGGGATGGTAGCCATGGATGCAAAGATCGCATCTTGGATGTCCACATTTACCTACTGCAACATTGGCCCCCCTCATGGGGCAAACGTACTCGATGACATGTGGATCTTCACTGTGAAGTGGCCACCTAGAGCGCCACCTGTCTTCAAGGCGCGCTAGGTGGAGAGAGGTTGTAGTCACCGAGAGGGGCTATACTTCTTCAAGAAATTCTTCCCCAGCTTGATGACCATTCTTCGGGTACCGCTGCACATTGGAGCACAGCGTGACTACGAGCTCCACTCATTTAACTTCTCCACTACCTTCCTCTAGGACAGCCAGCGTGAGCAGACCTGGCTATGCCAACCCCCTGATTTCACTGGGTTGTTCTTTTCTGAAACCAATAAACCCTTAGCGACCACTCCACGGTCTACGTTAGGCTCCTAACGAGTGGAAGAACACGCTATGCACTACTCTTGCTGCTCTCGGCTTCTCCCCCTCCTCTGCTGACCCTTCTCTGTTCATCCGCTCTGGCTTGGCGATGTTCTACATCATTGTCCACGTTGACGACCCGGTCTTTACTACTCCCGACAAAGCTGAGCTAACCTAAGTGAAGGGTTAGCATCCTTACTTGCTTTGTTGAGATTGAGAGAAGCTGACACGCTTACTGGTCAGCCGATAAGAGGGTATTGTGCTATTTGGCGAGTATAGTAGGCATGGGACTTATGCTTTGAGGACGACTGCGAGCTATAACCATGGGTCATGCTACGTGTAAAGGCAGACAACGCCAAGATTCTCATGTCTTCATAGGGGTGTTGCTTCAATGTTGGTGTCAGAACTGTCTTATCATCGGTAACTTCGTCCATCTGTGAGGCTGAGATCTACGCTGGTGCTCTGGTTGCCCAGGAGCTTCGCTGATCCTCCTGTGTCAAGAGCCTCTACTGTAGGGCAGATTGAAGCACATCCAGCTATGGTACTTTTTGTTGCGTGAGTTACAGCAGCGTGGTCACGCACATGCGGTACACTTAGATACAGAGGTCAACACCTCTTATATAGCTTGCACTCCTGCACCGTGGTCATCAGCGGCTTCGCACATAGCTTGGAACTTGTTCCAACAGGTCCTTACTTGTTAGGGTCCTAATATCTGTACACGTTATGTCTTTATCAGTTTCTATTCAATGACTATCCTTGTAGCCCTTAGTCTCATAGCTTGGGGTAGTAGTACTGCCCCAAGTTATAGTTGATATGCTTGTTGCTTTTGTCAATGGGAGTTGTGTGTTGGCCCCGTCCTCGCTTGGGAGGAGCCGACCTTGTGGTCAAGTGTGAGGGGAGCAGCCGACTTGCAGGAATGGGTGAGTTGGTTGACGAGGAGGTCGACCTGCACGGGGGCCACTGCACGGGCGCCGACTTCAGGGAGGTCGACCTGGGAGGTTGACCTGTGGAGGGCGTCGACTTGGTGACGCCAACTTGGGGCAGCTGGCTTGGGTGGTCCGCTGACAGGACGGCTGGTCAACCTGGTGGTTGGTCGACCAGGCCTGCTGGTCGACCTGGTGGTTGGTCGACCAGGCGTGATGTCGACCTGGTGGTCGACGGAGGAGGGGCTGACGTTGACCACGACTCAGGACGCCGAGCAGCTGGGCGTCGAGTAGCAGGGCATCAAATTGGTGACGCCGACTACGGGTAGCCGACTTGGGCGGTCGGCTGACAACTGCGCTGGTCGACGTGGAGCTGGTCGACCAGGAGTGACGTCGACCTGGAGTTGGTCGACCAGGGGTGTGGCCGACCTGGTGAAGTCGACTTAGGGTGGCCGTTGACTTGGGAGGTCGACGGGCATTTACAGGAGCAGCTGGTCGACGTGGTTGCCTGGTCGACCAAGTTACCTGGGTGACGAGGTTCTGCGGAGGAGTGCGACGGTCGCCCAAGCGATGTTGGCGAGACCGACCTTGGTGGTGGTATCCCGGGGTCGACGTGGAGGATCAGGTGCAGTCGTCAGCGCGAGGATGATATGGTGGGTGCGTTGTGCAGGTGATAAGGCTCAGCACACCAATCCTTTGCGAGCACCTGCGAAGCTAGTGCAATGCTGTACTGCGGGAGCAACGCTGGCACGCTGTCAACCTGCAGCGTTGGCACGCCATCGACTTTGCACTGCTGGAGCGCGGTCGACCAAGTCGTGCTGGAACGCGGTCGACCATGCTGCGCTGGCAGTCGACCAACTTGAATGCTAACTCTGATGTAGTCTTGCCATGTCAACTTCTTTGTACCATTGTTGTCAACTTTCTCTAGTGAAACTCTTGCAAATTTGCCCCGTGAACTAGCAAGCAGTGTGTGCACTAGGAAAGCGACTAAGGAAGAATGAACGCAGAGATCATACGAGCACCCGTGCCTAGCCCGTAATCTAGCTCCCGTTGTAGTAGTTATCTCCGCATGGTGCGGTGAGCGTGGAGAGCACACGACTTACCTTTCAGTCAGGTCGACGTAGTGGTCACTTAGCTAAGTTGCTCATAGGCCGGCAACCGTGTAGTCACTAGCGTGCGCGTAGGTGACGCAGAGGTGATGGAATCCTTGGAGGCACAGCTGGACGATGCGAGGAGACGCCATGAGGCCCAGGAGTACGGGGCGATACCCTCGGAGATCGTCAAGGCAGGAGTCCACTCCATGTGGGCGGTAGAGCACCCCCCTTCTCGACCAGCGTCTCCTCGACCGGTGACCAACGAAGGCGACGTCGATGTGGGCGTCCACGCCAGAGGTGGCCAAGTCGGCAGCAGTGCAGGAGGCACGTCGAGGCAGCATGGTGTGATCCACGCTGATGAAGTCGGCGGCATTCAGGCGCGAGGGGTGCAGTCGTCAGTGGCTGTAGGCTCCTTGCAGGGCGACGTCGAATTCTTGCCATCATCAGGATGGCCGGCGCGCAGTACTCGACGGCGTCGTACCTCACCCACGTCATGCAGGGAATCTCAAGCAGCTACAACCTCCTGAAGCGGCTGTCAATGGCGCTGAGCACGAGGGCGATGCTCAACGAGGACAACTTGACCTCGTACATCCTACAGGACGAGACGATGCAGGAGGCTGAGCGGTCCCAGGAGCGCTTGGCGCAGGCGCACTTCGTCGCTTCGGCGAAGCAAGGATGTCGATCGGGGCAGCGCGGACAGTCTGGCAGCGGTGGTAGCAGTGGCTGGAAGGCGGCCAAGGAAGTCGACAATAAGAAGTCGACCAAGGACAGCGGTCGAGGAGGAGGAAGTCGACGTCGGGAGTGCTGGCTGTGCGGCGACCCAGACCACCTCTCCTTCGGGTGCCTCGACCGCAGTGATTTCGATGACGACGACGTCAAAGGAGGCCGCGGCAGGTCTGGAAGCCGTCGTCCTTGTCGAGGTGGAAACAAGCCGCGCAAGGAGAAGCAGTCGACCACGTTGACCTCGGTGAAGGACGTCGACTCCTCTGCTGGCGGCAAGGGGCAGGACGACAAGACGACATCGTGCTCGCTGGTCGGCGTTGTGGAGCCGACTGTCTCATTGGTGCCGGAGGCCGGGGAGGACATCCAGGCGGTGGTGGCAGCTGTGCAAGCAAAACCGGCGGTGGTCTTGCTCGACACCGGCTGCTCCCATCACCTGATGGGGACGAAGGAAGTCTTCGTCGACCTGCAGCCGAGCGGCTCCATCAAGCACGTGCGTGGCTTCAACAGGGCACTACAGGACTTCCAGGGCCGCGGCACCGTCGCTCTGCAAGGGGAGGCTGGGAAGCAGGTGCTCATCCACGACGTGCTGTACATCCCGGGTGTGCGGGCAAACCTACTGTCGTCTGGCCAGCTGAAGGAGTACGGCGTGAAGCTCCAGGAGGATGGCGATCGGATGCTGCTCGTCTCAGCAGCGGGAGAGGTGCTCGGTCGTGCGACATATTCCGAGCGTGTCCTCTGCACCGACCTGCGTCCCTGCTCAACAAGGTCGACGTTGCCCACGCCGGAGGTTGTGGCCCTGCGGGCGATCGTCTCGACGACGAAGCCGACGCCGGACAGGATGCATGCGAGGCTTGCGTACGTCGGCATGGACACCATACGGAGCTCGGCAAAGCACGAGGTCGCCACTGGGCTGGACCTTAAGTCGGCGACGGGCGC